GTTCTTAGTGTTTGTCAATATCTAGTGTTTTATTTCTTGGCATTGCAGTGCTGATTTTACTACTAGAGCCATGGTGACATATTTATTGTTATCAAATGTTTTTCTCTGTATGCCAAATTCTAGATTACCTGAACGTACTCCAGCCTGTATCCAAAGAACTGCAACCTACAACCTCCCTCTCAACACAAATAAACAGAGGTGGTTGAATTCTAGAGGCAAAGTCAATATCCATGCCCAGACTGTACCTTTGAAAAGCAGACATTGAATAATGAGGCCTCCATTCTACCCACAAAGCTACCCAATATAATCAACCTGTCAACCTCAGCAGAATAAAACATAGGAATATTACAAGACAACATAGTAAGGTACCTGCAAACTTCCCACTATCTCAAAGCCAGGGCAGGAGGAGTCAGATGGGAGGAAACCAAGAGCCACACAGCCGAAACATCTAAAGTGATAACAATGTAGGTAACAAAACAGATCAATAAAGTGCTCAGGGAGCTCAAAGGAGAGACACCTAAACAGATAATGCTCCTGATGGAGGAAATCAAGGGTAAGTCTACAAAAGACACCTACAAATAACTAAGTGCAGCTAAAGAAAGAGCTGCAAAACATAAATACCCAGTATAGGAGAAAAGGAACCATAAAAAAGTCCCAGACAGAAATCCATGACATTAGAAATTCTACTGAAAACATGAGCATCAGAAGTGACCAAAGTGAGGCCAGGTTGTCATAGCCAGAAGGCAGGAGTGTTGTGGGTGATTAGTTAATGACAGATACCTTCAAATCAAGAAGCAAACATGGAAAATGGACCCAGCTGCTGACAGATGATACAAAGAAGAGGAATCTGTGATTAATTGGAGTTAGTGAAAAATGAGAAGACAACACATATGTCATCATAACTTGTTTAGAGAAGTAAGAGCGGACAGCATTCCAAACACGGAAAGAGATTTTAGCACAGAAATAAGCGAGGCTCACACAACCGCAAATGATCAGAAAAGAACCACTGCATGACACAGAATAAAACATAGGAATATTACAAGACAACACAGTAAAGTACCTATAAACTTCCCACTATCCCCAAACCAAGGCAGGTGGAGTCAGATGGGAGGAAACCAAGAGCCACACAGCTGAAATATCTAAAATGGTAACAATGTAGGTAACAAAACAGATCAGTAAAGTGCTCAGGGAGCTAAAAGGAGAGACAGATTTTAGCACAGAAATAAG